AGTAGAAAAAGCACTGATATAGGAGTCAGAAACTTTGAGTCCTAATCTCAAATACCACTTGGGCAGCATTGTCTCTGGGCAGCTTTCTGGATATTTTCTGGGGTTGTTGTGGTAACTATGAGAGATAATACATGGAAAATCCTTAAAGAGCAAGGTCCTAAACAGATAGACAACCACTAGTTACTTCCTAAGTCTCACATTTAATAGCTTTTCCTTATTTCTCATCATATAGGACCTTTCTGCATTTGACAGGCTTATAATCACTATGACCTCTGCCTTTTATATGTTCCAGCTCTTGAATGATTTTTCTCAATTCTCTGGTTCTTGTTTTTCCACCCACATCCCAAGTGTTCTTTCATTAGCATTATTTCCTCCTGTGTCCAAGTTTTACTGGTGGCTTCCATGCCTTCTATTTCCAGTTACAGACTGATGAATCCTTGATCTTTATCATCCAGGCTGACCTTTCTCCTAAGCTTCATATCTTTCTTTCCAACGTATGCTCACTATGTCCACCTGTGATTTCTTCCTTAGGCACCTTGAAACTAAGATGTCTCAAAAATAACTTCTCATATTAAATCTGGACTTTCTCCTCCATGTTTCCATGAATGGCACTCTCCACTCTATGAGTCAAGCTAGAAACTTCAGACACATCTTTAGCTCTTTGTCTTCTTCAACACTGGCAATATGATGGAAAAGAAGGGGGGAACAGAGATGGGAGTTTGGGAGGCAAATCCTTCAGTGGGACAAAGAATGCAAAGGGAAACAAGGAGGGGCTGAGTGGTGAAGGAAGGTAGGCAGGAGCTAGATCTCAAAGGGTCACATAAGTCACGGTAAGGAATTTGGACTTGAGGAAGCCCGATGCGGGCTTCCTGCTCAGCAGGGAGCCTGCTTCTCCCTCTGCCTGCTTCTCTCCCTGCTTGTGTGCATGCTCTCTCTCTCTCTCTCTCGCTCTCTCTCTGACAAATAAATAAAATATTAAAAAAAAAAAAAAGGAATTTGGACTTGATTCTGGAGGCAGCAGGGATCCATCCATTGGATGGCTTTAAGGAGGGGGCATACATGCTGAGTTTGTGGCTGTGGAATGCTTAAACTGATTGCAGTGTGTAGAATGGGTTATAGGGTTCCAATATGAGAAAGGAAGAATGTTAGGACCTGGATGCAGAAGGGGAGATGATGATGTGATGAGAAGATGAGGTCCCGAACAAAGTCAAGGTGTGGGGCAGCAAGATAAAGTTGAATTTTTTAGTGAAAAAGAATCCTTGGAGGATGGCCACTTGGAGAGCTACTTCTCCCTCATCTAGGGAAATGGTGAAGGGAAAGGAAAGGAGAAGGCTGTGTGGGGATGAGAACACCCAGAAGTAAATAAACTAGCCCATGAGAGTGAAGGGCAGGTCTGGATTCTGACCACCTTTCTCCTCCTCATGGTTGGAGTTTATCTTGCTTGCTGAGCTTATGAGAGAAATAATCAGGACATGATGAATAAAAATAATTTTGGAATAAATCACAAAGAACAGAACTTATTATTAAAAATCGGTGCACAATGATTGGAATAGGAACTGAAGGACAGCGAGGCTACTTTTCTTACAAACTATAGTTGTTGATTATTCACAAGTCCTTAATGTCTTTTTTGAGAAAGTGGTTTTATTTTCCAGCTGTTGTTCATGGCTGCAATCACACTGGTGAGTGGTTACAAGGGAAAGTAAAGAAAACAGCAGGTTGTTTGATATTGCTAAAAAGCCTGTCTATGAACCATTCACTGAAGATAACAGATTCTTCCAAAGGATAATGTTTATAAATTCACAGTGCTTCTCTGCTTATAAAAAAATGAGAGGAGAAAATGAAAATCAGGAAAGAGGAATTACTCGTATACAGTACCTCTGCTCATAGAGACTTGGACTTGTAACAGCCAGGCCACATTTGTGTTTTTTTTTTTTTTTAAAGATTTTATTTATTTATTTGACAGAGAGAGACACAGCGAGAGAGGGAACACAAGCAGGGAGTGGGAGAGGGAGAAGCAGGCCCCCGCGGAGCAAGGAGCCTGATGCAGGGCTCAATCCCAGCACCCTGGGATCATGACCTGAGCTGAACGCAGATGCTTAACAACTGAGCCACCCATGCGCCCCAACATTTGTGGGTTTTGTTAGGAATAATTGGAATAAGGAAGGAGAGAAAAGTCAGTTTCTTTTTCATTGTAACTTTGGGACTGATGAAGGGACGTGTGATGTGGCTGAGGGTGCTAAGGATCAGGTCTTAGGCTCTTGTATGTCCTGGAAGATGTTACTATGGGTGAAACTTAGCTACTGGTGAAATGATTGAAGAATCCACCCCCTACCCATGAGTAAAGTGGAGGCTTTCCCATTAGTTTGGTTAAGCGACTTAATAAGCTCCTTAAAAATAGTGATTCGAAGGGGCACCTGCACCCCAATGTTTATAGCAGCAATGTCCACAATAACCAAAATATGGAAAGAGCCCAGATGTCCATTGACAGATGAATGGATAAAGAAGATGTGGGGTGTGTGTGTGTGTGTGTGTGAGTGTGTGTATATATATATATAAAACTCAGCCATCAAAAAGAATGAAATCTTGCCATTTGCAACACCATGGATGGAACTAGAGGGTATTATGCTAAGTGAAATAAGTCAGTCAGAGAAAGACAAATACCATACAGTCTCATTCATATGTGGAATTTAAGAAACAAGACAGATGAACATAGGGGAAGGGAAGGAAAAATAAAATAAGATGGAAATTGGGAGGGAGGCAAACCATCAGAGTCTCTGAACAAACTGAGGGTTGCTGGAGGGGAGGTGGGTGGGGGGAAAGGATAACTGGGTGATGGGCATTAAGGAGGGCACTTAATGTAATGAACACTGGGTGTTATATGCAACTGATGAATCACTAAATTCTACCCCTGAGACTAATAATACACTATATGTTAACTCAATTGAATTTAAATAAAAAAATAAAACAAGGAGTCAATATAAAACTTAGAAAATTTTTTTCCTTATAAAAAGAGTTCAACAAAGATTAAGCTTAATTTACAAACTCCTCAAATTGACATATGATCTTTGTTAGTGTGCATTCAGTCATGTTTGCCTTGTTGCATGGTTTCGTGCACTGGACTTTAGGGTCCTTCAGACATCACCTCATTATTGCCTACTGTGATTTGCAGGTGCACTGCGAGAAATGGATCCTGAGTCTTACTTAAGTAGTCTAGTCCTTTCAGCAGCTGAGAGTTTGTTGCATTTAAAGGCAGCATTTTCATATTCATATACTTGATGCAGTTGTTCAGAACTATCTTCTTATTAAGCAACCAAACTTTCTGTTTATTGACATACTTTCCATAAATGCATCTAAACAGACATGGAGAAATAAGTCTCAGAATCAGTAAGTGAAATACCCTAGAGTAAGAAAAGAACACAAAGATTTCCTAAAAGGCAGAGGACCTAGGTCATGGCTAAGTTTTAAGAGAGGATGTAATATCATTAAAAATGGGATCTTGCTGGCCTCACCAAAGTACACGATGATGCTCATTTTAAGTGAAGATTTATTTTATAGTCTTAATATTACAGATGTGGACAAAGTGTTCCAAAGAGCTAGCCATCAAAAATGCCAAAGATCTAAATCTTAATGACTTTATCTCTGAAATTCAGTTTAAAAAAATCAATGATTGTCATTAGCTTTGGGAGAGCAAGCCCTCAAATATGACTTCCCTATAGCTTCTACAGTTTATTGCTCAGGAGTCTAAATTTTATTGATGCCTCATGCTGACATCAGAAGTGCCCCTTGTACATTTTTGTTCCTTCCCTGCCTAGTATACTGAAATTAATGAAAAAGGAAAAACTAAAGTAATGACATGGAGACAATAGGCCTGCTAGATCTTGCTAGATTTTTAAGTGAGAAATCAGCAGCTGGAGCTGTTGTTGCCTTTCATGGGAAGATGAAGGGACTCAGGTGAAAATTTCCATGTCAAATTATACTTTTCTGAAGTGAAAGTGTGATAATTTTTTTGTCTTCTATTTTAAAAAGTTGTTTGCCAAAAGGATGAATGAGTGTGCAACCCAGGATGGCATGTCGATTAGCAAGGGGGCTTTTTTATTTTCTATAAGCTTCTGTTGTGCAGCACAATACAGGCCTATACTCCAGGGCCCCTCTTTGGACACAACTTGACAATGTCTTCAAATGCACTGAAGGCTTGTGCTCATACAGAACAACTCCCATGGTCCAATTTTGCATCGTCAACTGAAGTCAGAGGCAGGTTGAATGTTATGTTTTGCTCCTCCAAAGCCTAATCCTCACCAGGAAACAGAGGTTTTCCAGCCTGGAGGGGGACTCTGAGGCCTATAGTCACCATTGCTAGAGTAAGTAACACTGCAGAGTGTGTCAGAGAGCCACCTGTTCTCTCAACTCAAAACAAGCACACTGATTCAGATAATTGTGAATTTAACCCAATTAGATTTCCAAATGAGGGACTTAGAGGTCCTACTGGCTGTAGAGATTGTGCTTACCACTCAGGATGGTCCATAATGTCAAGAACTGGTTTTGGTCTAGTGAGTTTAACCTGGCACTGAGGTGTCAATGCATAACCCCCCTGGAAAAAAACAACAACAAACCATACATTTCAAAAACAAGCTGTTGCAGCCCTCTTTCCCCATTGAATAATATTTTTTTATTCATTTAGCTGATAAATAAAAATCAAATATAGCGTGCATCCTGCATTGCGCTTAGTGCGTAGACCGCACAAATATGTAAAGTGTGTTCTCTGCCTTTCGGGAAGTTTTCAATCAAATCGGGAAGATGAATCACGTATTCAAATATTCACACCCACGAAAGAGTTGAGGGAGCGGCAGGAAGGAGACAGGTGCACTGTGGGGGTTGGTTCTAAAGGGTTTCAGGGATTCTCCAAATGGGAGACAGGAGCAAGTCAGCATTTAGACAGCTGTGATACAAAGACACCCGGGGACATAGAAGATATATTCCCTTTATCTTCTATCTCTTTCCAGGCCCTATTTACCAGATTGCTCACTGTGTGACACGCATTGAGCTAAACAAGATGTATCCACCTAAAACTCCCAGTTGACCTGAAAGGTAAGTGCTCTTTTCTCTATCTACTCAAAGAGTTTAAATAATGTGCCTCAAATCATATAGCTAATAAATATCAGTACTGGAATCTGACCAAGTTGGAGGAGCTTTCTAAAAAAGAATGACTTCAGTTGACTCCACGTTCCAGGAAAAGATATTGAAGCCAAGGCATGCCAAGAGGAGTGAGTCAGGAGTAGACAGTAGCAAAGTGCCCCTTTCTTTTTGGCTGATTACATTTCATAGCACCACACAACAGGGAAACAGAAGTGGGTGAGATAATGGTGATGCCACCTTATAAAGATCTCATTTAGTGGTAATACATTCTAAGGAAAGTTTTTTCATTTTCTCCTTAAATCTCCATTAAGGATAGTATACCTTTTCTAATATGTCCCCATTCTCCAGAATGCCATAGCTCCTTTGATTTCATAAAACGATATCCTGACAATGATATTAAAAGTGTGATAATTTCTAAATTAATAAATTGTGTATAGTTTGAATAAAATGAATATTGATAGCTGGTCAATACTTGAAATCATGCCAGTACTATGAAAAAGCCAGAGACATGATGTGAATTTAAGATAACCAAATTTTAATTTATGACTTATTCCTGTAAGAATGGAAATTACTGCTTGTATGTCTGAAATAAAGGGAAAAAGATGCCCTTTCTGCTCTTGGAAGATGTGGTGGCTCCCACCAGTTGTAGGTGGGTGTCCAGTGTGGCACTGGTTTGTTCCAGATGCTTAGAGTGTTGTTCAGACTGTGTCAGAAGGTCAGACACATGGAATCCTTGGATCATTGTAAAATTTTTGTATTGCCACTTAATAAATTCCCACAAACTTAGTGGCTTAAAACAACACACACTTATTGTCTTATATTTCTGGCTTCCAGAACTCTGAAACCAGTTTCACTGACCCCAAACCAAGGTGTTGGCAGGACTACACTCTCTGCAGAGGGTCATGGAATCAGTTTCCCTGGGCTTTCTCCAGCTTCTACAGTGGCATTGCTTGTATTCCTTGGCTCATGGCCTTTTCCTCTATCTTCAAAGCCCACAGTGTAGCATCCTGAAATCTCTCAGTCTGCCTGTCTTTCTGTCTCTCTCTGTGTCCTTTACACTCTACTGAGTGGAAACACATTGCCTTCTCTCTTCCATAGGATACATGTGATTACATGTAGGGCTCACCTGGATAATACAGGATAATCTCATCTCAAGATTCTTTTTTTTTAAAAAGATGTATTTATTTATTTGATAGAGAGCAAGCTTGTGAGCTATCCAGGTCCTAATCCGGGTGGGGGTGGGCAGAGGGAGAGGGAGAGAAACTTTAGCAGACTCTGTGTTGAGCACGGAGCCTGATGCAGGGCTTGATCCCAGGACCCTGAGATCATGACGGGAGCAGAAACCAAGAGTTGGCTCCTTAACTGACTGAGCCACCCAGGTGTCTCTCATTTCAAGATTCTTAATCACATTTACAAAGTCTCTCTTACCACTTTTATTCAACATAATACTGGAGTCCTAACCAGTGCAATTAGGCAAGGAAAAGAAATAAAGTCATCTAAATTGGAAGGGATGAAGTAAAACTGTAAATGTTTATACTACTCAAAGCAATCTACATATTTAACTTAATCCCTATCAAAATACCACCAGCATCTTTCACAGAACTAGAACAAATAATCTTAATATTTGTATGGAACCACAAAAGACCCCAAATATCCAAAGCAATCTTGAAAACAAAGAACAAAACTGGAGGTATCACAATTCCAGACTTCAAGTTTATTATAAAGCTATAGTAATCAAAACAGTATGGTACTGGCACAAAAATAGACACATAGATCAATAGAACAGAATAGAAAGCCCAGAAATAAACCCACAATTATATGATCAATTAGTCTTCTACAAAACAGGAAAGAATATGCAATGGGAAAAAGTCTTCAACAAATGGTACTGGGAAAACTGGACAGCTCCATGCAAAAGAATGAAACTGGACCACTTTCTTATACCATACACAAAAATAAACTCAAAATGGATTAAGAACCTAAATGTGAGAGCTGAAATGGTAAAAATCCTAGAAGAGAACACAGGCAGTAATTTCTTTGACGTTGGCTATAGCTAACAACATCTTTGTAGATATGTCTCTTGAGGCAAGGGAAACAAAAGCAAAAATAAACTATTGAGACTACATCAAAATAAGCTTCTGCACAGCAAAGGAAGCAACCAAAAAACCTAAAAGGCAACCTACTGAATGGGAGAAGATATTTGCAAATGACATATCTGAGAAAGGGTTAGTATCAAAATTTTTAAAGAACTTATACAACTCAACTCCACAAAAAGACCCAAACAAAAGAAACAAACCAAATAATCCCATTAAAAACGGGCAGAAGACTTGAACAGACATTTCTCCAAAGAAGACATAGAGATGGCCAAGAGACACATGAAAAGATGCTCTACATCACTCATCATCAGGGAAGTGCAAATCAAAACTACAATGAGATATTACCTGTCAGAATGGCTAAAACAACAAAACTCAAGAAACAAGTGTTGGCAAGGATGTGGAGAAAAAGGAACCCTTATATACTGTTGGTGGGAATGCAAACTGGTACAGCCACTGTGGAAAACAGTATGGACGTTCCTCAAAAAAATTAAATAGAACTACCTCATGACCCAGTAATCGCATTACTGGGTATTTACCCTAAGAATATGAAAACATTAATTCAAAAAGATATATGCACCCCTATGTTTTTTGCAGCATTATTTACAAGAGCCAGATTATGGAAGCAGCCCAAGTGTCCTTCGATAGATGAGTGGATAAAATATTACAAAGCCATAAAAAAGAATGAAATCTTCCCATTTGCAATGACATGGATGGAGCTAGAATGTATAATGCTAATAAGCAAAATAAGTCAGTCAGAGAAGGACAATACCCAATGATTTCACTCATATGTGGAATTTAAAAAAGAAAACAAAGAGGAAAAAAAAAAGACAAACCAAAAACCAGACTCTTAACTATAGTGAACAAACAGATGATTACCAGAGGGGAGGTGGGTGGGGGATGGGTGAAATAGGTGAAGGGGATTAAGAGCATACTTACTGTGATGAGTACTAATATATATAATTGTTGAATCACTATATTGTGTGTCTGAAACTAATCTAACACTGTATGTTAATTACACTGGAATTAAAATTCTTTAAAAAAGAGTGAAGGGTAGAAATAATAGGGAGGCAGATTGGCTGCACATTAGAAAGCACTTCACAATACTCTCAAGATAGTGCATGCCTATCACTGAGGGTGGATAGGCAGGACAGGATCATTGTCTGCTGGAATTGGGGCACAGAGCATTTCTGTTTTTTTATAGGAGATTGGGGGCGGGTAGACATCCTCCAAGGAAGATTTTTGAATGATACAAACTGAGAAGATTTCAAAATAACTTGGAGAACTCACATAAGAATACTAATTCAGTCATGATATGCTATAAAGGTGATGATAACAAAAACACCACAAAACAGGTTTATTTTTTGCTCGCACAACATACCCATTTTAGGTTGACAAGGGGCTCCATCTTATATTGCCCCCACTCAGGAACCCAGGCTACGGGAGCTCCATCATTTGGAATGTTGCCAGTTGCTGAAACAGTGTTTCACACTGGCAAGCAATTAAATATTCCAGCTCCCAAATCAATGCCCTATATTACATATGCTCCCAAATTATTGCCAGAACCAGTCACATGGTCAATCCTATCATATATATTGAAGGAGGAGAGATAGAAATTTAGGAGAATAAATTGATATCCACTATAGCTCACTTTCTGGATGCTAAATCCTTGGTTCACACTCCTTCCCATACCCAGAATGCTTCCATCCCCTCCACACGGGAGATGACCCCAAACCCAAGGATCCCTGTGTGATGACTAGAGTCTCTACATGTAGTGGCTCTTGATTGTGAGATTTATGAACTTAAAATACAAGTTATCTTCCCTTGCAACTTAGCCGGTGTCCAGTGGTGTAACAGGGATAGGGTCACCAGAATAAACATTTCCATTCTGAAAGGGAAAAAAAAAAAAAAGAAACAGTAGATATTGATCTGTAGCGATTCTGAAATCCACCTAGGTAGATATTTTTGAGAGCCCTTTACCTAAAGACATGTAGATAAATGAGAGTTTGCACTTACCCTCAAGGAACTCAGTTTAGATGGGGGACATGCATGTACATACATGACTGTAATACAGGAGAGGTGTAAAAGTAGTGTTTTCACAGCATCAAAGAGGATGGTTAATTCTCATGGCCACACATGAAATGAGCATTGGGACAGTTTTTTCTTGGACCACTTGGGCTGTCCAAATATGATGTCATATTTGGAATCCAAGGGTTGTTTTAAGTTTTGAACAAAGACTCTTTTAGTCCTAGCCCATGCTTTCTTGGGTCATTCAGTTATCTCAAAATCTTAGGAGCCTCTTTATTAGCATGATTAAAATCAGTTCCATGTGTCAAATAGTCACATCCACATTTTTTTTTAAGACACAGTCCTCAGATTTTCTGTATTTGCTTTCTCATCCTGATCTCTCTCTTGACTTAACTGTAATTGCAGATGCCTTGATGGCTTATTGGACTGTAGTGGGACAACCACACTTTTAGCACCTTTTTCCTGAGTTGTTTTGTCTAATTGAAAGAATTTCATTGGTGGAACACTTTAATAGGATTTTTTGTTTGTTTGAGATGACTTAATTCACTCACAGGTGTTAACTGTAGATATAATGGCTCTTGATTCGCTTCTTTCTTTAAGCCTGATTTTAATTAACTTGTTTCTCAAATATGTCTTTCCTGTTGGCGTTGGGCAGCAGTTGCCTCTTCCAGTCCTGCTAGACCCCATATTCTTTTTGTTATGGTTTGCAAACAAACAAAAGCCAAATGCTTTATGAGCTCATTTCTTTTTTGTAATTCTTTGCCAAATGCAGTGATACACACAACTCTTGTTCTGTTTTCAAATTCTGTGTACAAGTTCACTGAGTACATAGTT